TTGTATCAAAATGACCCAGTGATATAATAAATGATAGTACTCTATTATTAGAATCTAAAACATTCTTCTATTTGTTACTAGTTATGTTGTTCTTGTTGTTAAGTGCTGTCAAGTCAGTTCAGAACCATAGTGATGCTGTATAAGGTTTCCAAGGAGCGGCTGGTGACCTTAAACTGCTGACCTTGCAATTCGATCAACTTTGCAGTTTAGCAATTAACCCACAGCGCCACACCATGACTCCGTTACTCTTTATTTATAGTTACTCTTTATATTATGATACTACGATTATGTTAGCAGAATATTATGTCTTTCTCTAAAAAGTTCTAATTCTCTACCTGTAGCTACTATTTCTCATTTATGATATAATAATTTTAAATTTTCTCCTTTTTTTCCCATTATTATTGTTGTTAAGTGCCGTGCAGTACACTGCAACTCATAGTGACCCTGTATGGGGTTTCCGAGGCTGCAAATCTTTACAGGAGCAGACAGCCTCATCTTTCTCCAGAGGAATAGCTAGTAGTTTCGAACTGCTGACCTTTAGGTTCGCAGCCCAATTAGTAACCACTACACTACCAAAGCTCCTTCAAGACTTTCATAAAACATGATTCTTGGTGACTAGTTAACATTCATGCAGCCAAGTATTTCTTTCAGAAAAACTCTCAAGAAGCATATGTATAGATTCATTCTAGAAGAACAAACTCAAAGCTCACCCGGTCTAAAACTACTATCAAAATATTTACCTTCAAATAATAATTGTTGTCAAGTGCCATTGAGTCGATTCCATAGCGACCCTGTATAGGGTTTCCAAGGAGCAGCTGGTGAGCTTGAACCACCGACCCTGCAGTTCAAACGGCTTTGCAGACTGACGCATTAACCCACAGCACCACACTAGTAAGTTGTTACATATACTACTTCTGTGCTACCAAGCATCCTGGGCAATGTGTTCATAACACATATTGTTTTCCATAACACATACAATTCTGTACTAATCATTCATATATCTATCTTACACTAAAGGGACACAACCCAACATGAAGCTATTAAACCTTCACTTGTCGATTATCTATACCAAAAATGAATGACAGATAAAAAATGTTTCTTCATGCCCAATATATGTATAATTTATGAGTTACTTTAAAAAAATTCAACCTCAATAAGAACCTGTTTATATAAGAGATACATGAGAGGAAGTAAAAAAAGTATTGCTATAAAATCAGAGCAACCTTTATTAAACAAAACCATGAAAACATGAAGCTATCATTTGATGTATCCTCCATCTAAGTCTAGACATTTCTGAAGGTGGTGTTTCCATCTCTCTAACCATTCCCTGAAAACTCTGCATTCTTCGATTTACACCACATAAAGGTGACAATTTTAGCATTTTCAAGGGACTCAAACTGCCTTCCTTTTAAATGTTCTTTAAGTTTGGGGAACAAAAAAACTCTGAAGGAGCAAGATCAACACTAAGGTGTGTGGAGTAAAGTTTCCCCACAAAATTCCTAAAGGACAGATTTTGCTATCCTCCAAGAATGAACAGGTACATTATCATGATGAAAAAAAATTCCTCAGTGCAACTTCTCTGGCCTTTTTTGCATCAATGCAGTTTTCCATTTTCGTAGAATTTCTTAACAAGTTCCATGATTGATTTATCCTGTGTCTTTCAAGAAAATCTACCAAGATTCCCTTTGGTAATAATCTTCAGAGCTGACCTCTCTGTCCTGAATTTAACTGGCCCAGTAGATTGCCAGGAAGCCACTGTTCAGATTACTGGGTTTTTTTATGGCACCCTAACGAAGCTAGGGAGCTCTGGTAGCATACTGGTTACGAGTCAGGCTGCCAACCCCAAGGTCAGCAGTTCGAAACTACCAGCAGTTCCGCTGGAGAAAGATGAGGCATTCTGCTCCCGTAAAGATTTACAGCCTCGGAAACCTTGTGCAGGGTCACTATGAGTTGGGACCGACTCCATGATACTTAACAACAACAACAATGAAACTAAGACTAACTGATAGAACTTGTCTGTAGCTATCCACTGACAGCAGAGGTATGTTTAAACTAGATGTACATGTATGAACTAGAAGCCCAGTAGCATTACTTTTTATAATAACTTTTTACAAACCCAACTAAAATTGACTTTTAGTATACATCTGTACAAACAGGAATGAATAAAAAAAGTAAGAAAAATATAAACAAATTCTGAAATTCCACAAATAACAGGTTATTTCACAAGAATCTGAGTCATGCAGAGTGGTCTGGAGAGAAAATTCTATTTTAAAATCCTGAGTTTAGGAAAGGGAAGACTGATGAGCTACTCTAAATTTAATTTCTACTATTTTATACGGTAAGGAGCTCTGGTAGCGTAGTGGTTACGAATCGGGCTGCAAACCTCAAGGTCAGCAGTTCAAAACCACCAGCTGTTCTGTGGGAGAAAGATGAGGCTTTCTGCGCCAGTAAAGATTTACAGCCTCGGAAACCCTGTACAGGGTCACTATGAGTTGGAACTGACTCCACGGCACATAACAACAACAACAACAACATTTTACACTATTTTACAAAACCTGTAACATATTCAGCCCTGGTAGTGTAGTGGATTATGAGTTGGGCTGCTAACTGTAAAATCGGTAGTTCAAATTTACCAGCTGCTTCATGGGAGAAAGATGAGAATTTCTGCTCCCGTTAAGATTTAAAGCCACAGAAACCCTACACAGGGTCCCTATGAGTCAGAACCTACTCAACGGTATACAACCACCATTATTAGATAGAGTAGTATGCTTTTTTTTTTAAAGGCTAACGATGTGATAGATACTTCCTTGAAAACCTCACGTTTTCAACGATAAAGTAAAAATAAAGAAGGATTTGAACACTGTAAAACACATTCCTTATGGTCCTGCCTCAATATACTGCTCAATTGAAAGCATTAGCTCTCACAAAACTCTAGGACTTTTGGGTTTTTAGATGTTTTATAGAGTGTTTTTGGTTTTCTATTTGTTTTAATAATTAATTACAGTATGTGGAGTCCTGGTGTGGCACTGTAACATAAGCGCTGCTAATCACAAGGCTGGCGGTTCAACCCACCAGTCACTCGTTGGAAATCCTACAGAGGGTAGCTATAAATTTCAACCAACTTGACGGCTTTTAACAATAATAACATGAACTCAGAAGAATACACATTTGACAAAGATAAAGCTAGGACATTAAGAAAAACATTTTGTGGGTGTTCCAGTTTTCCAATCTATATATCATCTTAGCTGTTGCCAAAATATAGTAAGTTTGTCTTAGTAATACATTTTTGGGTTAGAAAATGATAGAGAAATTAGGAATGTAGGATTCTACCTCCAGTTATAACTCAGTGTTATACTATTCTAGGAAGAGCGACTCTAAGTCGTGTTACTATGAATTTTGTTGTTCAGAAGAAAAATACAAAAGCATTATTTTATCAAATGGGGAAAAAATCATCACCAATGTAAAAACATTAAAACAACATCTTTATGGGAAATTCCCACTTAAAAAGACAAGCAAACCAGCCTGGAACAGCTAGAGGAACAGAAGATACTGCTTGAAAGACAGACCAGCAGGGAAAACCAAAAATGGCAGTCTGATTGGCTACTACAAGAACAAGCAAGGTGTTCGCCGGGAGCCATCAAGGCAAGAAATCAAGTCTCTCTCTTTAGGACAAACCCCCTCCCAAGACTGAAACTCAGAGGGAATACAGGAGCAGGCATGTAAGCTTACAGGTGACCATGCTGGTCTACTGGTGAGTGGAAGTCAGGGGAGAGGAGCAATGAAGATGTGGGCTAAGTCCAACTACACTGCATAGATTCCCATCGACCTGGAGTATGGTGAGAGCTGGTTGGCCTGAAGTATGGTGAAACCTGGGGACTCCTGAGCCCATGGACAAGGACATGGTCACAGAGGACTAGAGCCGAGAGTGAAGTGTTAAGTTGATATGAAGTGACAGAATATGCACAAGGGCACCCAAACTTGCAGATAGTGCCCATTGGACCTAGCTTCAATGGCTGGATGTTCAGAACCCGACTAGAGGAAGGAAAAGAGGTGGGGGGAGGGAATTTTTTTTAAAGAAAACAAGTGTAAATCACTACAATCTGATGAACTTGACCTATACTTATGGATGTAATAGCTCAAAATATCAACCAAGAGGGAAAGAATCTTTACAGCAAGGATCATTCCCATCCCCTCTGTACACAGGGTTGATAGGGGTGGGCAACTTAGACACTGGCTACCTAAAATTTGGGGAGGCGGGTGGGCTGTAAAAGCAGAAAGTGACTGGCTTACAAGTTTTCAAGAGGGAGTTTAGATTCATAGTGTGCGGGGGAAGGTAAAATCCCCACTGAGTGGTTCTCATCCTGTCTAGACAGGTCTGGTGAAGGAGATGGGGGGACAAGACTCTCATGATTCAATAGTGAGTAACTGTTATCATGGCTAATTGTGATTGTCACAACTGTAAAGGTAGAAGTTTTGTAGTAAAAAGGAGTGAGTGGTCGATCTTACAGTCCCGGAGCAGAGGACCCTGGGACCATCAAGGGAGAAGAGCAGGAGCTGAGTGTGGGACCCCACTCAGAGAAGCAGCGACGCCAGAGATGGAGGCAGAGATGATGACATGGAGAGACGGAGCAGCTGAGGACTGTAAACTCATGGAGGGAGAGGGGATGTTTGCTGGCAGCTGGGGAGCAGGTTTGTAAGGTGTGCCCTTTGGCAGTTTGAATAACTGTATATTCCTGAGTGTTCTGGTGCACATCCAAAAATAAATAAATAAGTAAAAACAGAGAGAACAGAAGCAAATACTGGTGAATGATGAAGTATGCAGGGCATTGTAATCATTGCAATGAAACAAATACGACAGGATGAGTGTAAAACTGATGTTCTCCCATGTAAACTATCACTCAATTCACAATAAAAACTTAAGAAAAAACAAAACACAAAAAAACCCCAGCACCTTTAAATGTGAAAGATTCTCATTCATGTAAAGTATTTTTAAAGCATACCTTGTCCATTAATTTACTTGCATGAAGACTCAAGCTATTGAAGAATATTTTTTTGCTTAGCAAATGCATTTCTTCGATGGTAGTCAGCAAGGTGGTTGCACTACTTCCAACAATGCCACTGAAAGTAAAAATATTTCCAATGTAAACATGTTGAAACAATTCAGTTCTTCAAGTATAATGCTTTAAAAAAAGACTGAGATTGAAATAAAAGTGTTTAAGTAGAAAACAATCTATAAATAAGAAACAATTACTGAAATTTCACACAAAAATTTCAGTGTTTTTTCCTTTTGAATTAAGTGATGAAAAAATGGAACTACCATGCTTTCTATATTTGTCAACCTTTCATAAAATCACAAGATAAAACAGATACCCATCATATGTAAATTCTATCTTTATTCTGCCTTTGTCCCAGTAGACATATGTCTTGAGTAAACATTATTTCATCTTAATTTTAAGAAAACAATTTTATCAATGTTGTTAAGTACTGCCAAACTGATTCTGACACATAGTGACCCCATTTACATCAGAACAAAACACTGCCAGGTCATGTGCCAACGTTACAATCATGGTTATGTTTGAACGGACAGTGTCTCATTCTGTTGTGGAATCGACTCAACTGCACCTAACAATACACTGGCAAAAAAAAAAAAAAGCTGTGGAAGATATACATTCCATTGGTAAACGGCAAGCTGAAAACACAGAAATTTGCTGTTAAATGATATACTGCACATGATATATAATGAAAGCGAATGCCAATACCACATATTTTCAGTATATTCTGAAATATTCTGTCATACACAGGGTCGCTCTAAATTGGAAACAATTTGACTGCACTTGTGGGTTAATGCACTGGACTGCAAAGTTGGTTTGAACTGCAAGGTCAGCAGTTCAAACCCATCACTCCTCGAAAACCCTATACAGGGTCAACATGGGCCTGAACCAACTCGACAGTACTTAAAAACAACAATTATATAGTTCATGGAGACCAAGCTAATTACCAGTAAAAACAAAATAAAATAAAGCAAACAGAAAACTACAAATTCCTAAATAGCTAGCCATAATAGATGTATTTTAAAAAAAAATTTTCAGTTAAAAATTAATACAAATGCCAAAATAAATTGGAAGACATTTCAACACATGCAAAGAAAACAAGTATTTCCTTGAATAAAGGCACACATCAAGCAACAGAGAAACAAAATTTAATGAATACAAATAGAAACTGGTGTTTTAATAAGTACTTTTGACCTATTTGAAACATTAATTTTTTTTAATTGGGATAATCAGTTGTATTATGCAATTATTTAAATCTCAATTTTGCTAATGTTTATTCAGTATCCTCTAGGTACCTTTATTTGGGCTACTTTTAGATGTTTCTTAGAATATCTTACTCCATGTTTATAACCGTACTACTTGAATTTTCAGTTTTAGGTATATAAAATAACACAACACATTGTCTAAGTTCATGATCAACATCAGCATAAAACTGGTTCCAATGAGGCAGACATCAAGCAAACCTTCCTCTTCCTACTCCTCCATTATTTCTGACACTGGTCACACCTCCCCTCATCTGCAGGATACAGTCATCTGTGGCAATGGTCATGTGGAAACTGCAGAGCACGCTAACAGCTATGTGATCTGCTAAAGACGCATCAATCTACAAGTAGTGGAACAGACCATTCCTGGCTGGTGCCACTACCCTCAGCAAATATGGCTTCTCTGCTAGACTGCTGCTTTCTCTGTCAGCTAATTGCCTTCTCTGCTGGGCAGACCACTCCACTACTGACTGGTCTGTGCAGTGTCACATTTCGCATGGTGAAGTTCTCTGCCATTGGCCTTTCTACCATTAACTGGCCCAGCTGGTAGCCAGTGTAGCAGCTAACTCAGCTGTGCCAGCAGGGGTTCTGTGTGGGCTGTCTCTGCCACCATGTGCTTTGCCATCAGCCTTCCCACCACTGACAGCCAGCATTTAGCCAGTAGAGCAGTTTCAGACCCTTTTGTCCCTGCACAGTTCTGCTTCTCTGTCAATCCAGCAGCTCTATCAAGTGCAGCTTTTTCTTTTATTTTGAATCAGGTCTGGGTGGGCTTTTCAGCACAGGACCACCTTGTCTCAAAGGATGCACTCCACTAACAGCACCGTCAACCAAGAGAACTTGAAAACTTCAGTGTTTTAGTCTTTTATATAGTCAGTTACATGAGAGGGTCTTCCTCACCAGACCTTCAACAATGAGGTGTCAATCAACTCAGTGTTATAGAAAGCTGTACCACCAGAAACTAGTTTCTCTGCAGGGCAAAAGTAACAAATCCTCTAGGAGCAGAAAGCACCCAGAGATGTCCCCTAAATTGTTTTTAAGAACTGCAGCAAAGGTAGCAACTCTTCAGGGATTAAGGGAAAATGTCACAAGCTGTTTTTCCAAAGAACCAAGGCAGAAGGTCACATAAAGGAATTTACTGTCCCGCAAGATAGTACGTACAAATTTCCTGAAACAGATGAGAGCTCAAGTCTTGTACACACTGTTCTGCTGCCTCAACAACACACCCACACTTCACCTTCCACAGACTTTCTAACAAAGGCCTATCACAGGGTTCTCGTAAAAACTCAAGGTTTATGTTTCTTGTTGTTAAGCACCACTGAGTTGGTTCCAACTCACAGCGATCCTACATAGGGTTTCCAGAGAGCAGCTGGTGAGCTTGAACTGCCAACCTTGCAGTTCAAACAGACCTCGCAGCCCAGCACATTAACCCACAGTGCCACACTAAGACCTACAGTGCCACATAGCTTAGAAGCATGTAATTATTACTTAGAGTTGATCATAGAATCAGGGAGTCCAACCCCAGGGAATGAGCAAGATGGTGAAGAAGATAAAACTCAGGAGACAATCAGGCAGTAGGCCCACAAAGCAACCAGTCTAGACAGGAGAAGGCAGCAAGATTAATGTCAAATGAGAGGAAAGGTGGAGGGGTTACTTGATGTATAAGAAAATTTGTAGTAATTATGGTAAAATAAACTCATAATACTTACAGAAGCAGACTGACATATCTTTCTCTTATGGAGCAGCTGATGGATTTGAACGCCCATATTAGTTAGCATCCAATCAGGGCTCCTTTGATAAATCCACTGCCATCTAGTTGATTCAGTCATAACAACCCCTATGGGAGCAGACAGCCTCATCCTTCTCCCATGGAATGGCTGGTAGGTTCATACCACTCTTGCAATTAGCAGTCAAGCATTTAATCGCTGCACCACCAAATGCAGTATGCTGTTAAGTGCCACAGAGTTGGTTCCGATTCATAGTGACCCTATATAGGGTTTCCAAGGAGCAGCTGATGAATTTAAACCATCGATCTTACAGATCAAACCAACCTTACTGTACAGTGCTTATCCTACCTTGCATGTCTGTTTTTCCCCAATTTCTTTAACTATTCATTCCCAATATTCTTGTGAGTTTCTCTTCTTCTTGACCACTAAATACTGGAGCTTCCTAGGACTCAGCCCTTGGCCTTCTTTATCTATACCCGTTTCCTAGGTTAGTTAATTTAATCCCATGGGCTCAAATATCTTCTATAAAGAAAGCATTAATACTGAGTTTCAGCCCTGACTTCTGTGTCACCAACACATCATCTCCTATAGGGTGCTCACAAACTCATCAAATGTGACAGACAAAGCCAAAACTGAACTCAGCACCCATTCCCATTAAGCTGCTCCTCTCCAGCATGCCTCAATTCAGGAAACAGCTACACCATTCCCTGTTATTCACACCAAAGACCAAGAATTTATCCTCGATTCCTCTTTTTTTCACATCTCATTCCATCTAAGTTAGGTGTATGCTATATTGCTTCTACAATAAAATATAACGAGTCCACTACTTTTCACTGCCTCCAAGACAATCATCCTAGTGTAATTTGTCATCAGCTTTGTTCATAATCACAAAGCACTTCCTAAATATCTTCCCTACTTCTGCTTTTGTCCTTCCCCAATTACACCCCACTATGCACAAAACTTGCAAAGTAACCTTATAATCATATATGAAATCAAACCCTCCCATGTTTTCCCCAATTCACTTAGTATAAAGTCTAAATCATCATCAGAACCTACAAAATCTTACATGATCTGACTTCTGTCTACCTTTTTAATTTCACCTTCCCGTCCTCTTTTCAATGCAGCATTTAGCTCTAGTTTTTGTCTGGTCCTTCAACGCACACCTTTTCCTGGTCTGGGCCAGAGTGGACCTCTGCCTGGGATACTCTTGATATCTTCACATGTGCAGACTTATCGTATTATTCAGGTCTGTTTAAATATGACGTCCACCAATGCTGTTGTTGTTATGTGCCGTGGAGTTGGTTCCGACTCACAGCGATCCTGTACAGGGTGTCCAAAGCTGTAAATCTTTATGGGAGCAAAAAGCCTCATCTTTCTCCCACAGAACAGCTAGTAGTTTTGAACTGCTGACCCTGAGGTTAGCAGCCTCTAATTCATAATCACTACACTACCAGAGCTCCTTACAATAGGCCTTCAAAAATAAATTACATACACACACAACACAAACACACATCTACTTTCACACATGGTCACTCTATGATTTCTACTTCCTTATCCTTTATTTTTCTTGAATGCCCTTGTTATTGTTGTTGTTAAGTGTCATCAAGTCGGTTCTGACTCATAGTGACCCTATATAGGGTATCCAAGGAGTGTCTATTGAGCTTGAACCGCCAACCTTGCAGTCCAGCACACTTCGTATGTTCTAAAGATATCTCATTTCATATTTAATTGTTTATCTCCCCTACTAGAATATAAGCTGAAGCTCTGCTTTGTTCACTGCTGTTTCCTTAGCACCTCAAGAGTACAGAGTCAATTTTTAAATTGAGTAACTGAGAAAATGTGTGAACAAGTAGCAAAAGTACATTAAAATTGTATCAGAAGTAATCGTCATTCTCAATATCATCTTCAAAGACACAAAAATTATAATTCTCAGAGTGCAAAACTCTATTGTCATCTTCAGAATCCAAATGATTCTATACTTATCATTCTTTAAAGACTGAGTTGTCCTTATGTTTAAATAATTAATTCCATGTAGTATCATTTTGTTATTGTTGTTGCTAAGTGCCGTTGAGTCGGTTCTGACCCACAGAGATCCCGTACAGGGTTTTTGAGTGACTGGTGAGCTTCAACCGCTTACACCTTGTGGTTCAAACTGACTTTGCAGTCCAACGCAAAGTGCCACAGTGACACACCAGGACTCCAGTACCATTGGTGTTGTTAAGTGCCATCAAGCTGGTTCCTATCCACAGCAATCTTGTAGAGTTTCCAAGGAGTGGCTAGTGAGCTTGACAGCCCAATCTTGTGGTTCAAATTGACTTTGCAATCCAGGGCATTAACCCACAGTGCCACACTAGGACTCCATTATATTGTTGTTGGTGGTAATTGCCATCCAGTCGGTTCCGACCCATAGTGACCCTGTATAGGGTTTCCGAGGAGCAGCTGGTGAGCTTGAATCACCTACCTTGCAGTTCAAATGGCTTTGCAGTCTGGCGCATTAACCCACAGCGCCACACCATTACTAAATATTAGATCAATTTTAAATGAGTTTACCACTCTGCATAACACAGTATTTGCTATGCCATTTTCAGCTAATCTTGTCTTTCTAAGTACTTACCATTCTCTTGTTCTAGTATGCCTGTGACATTACAATTGAACCTAAATTACTGCTCTGAGTCATGACAAAGGTGATAATACATTTATATATGTTACAGAACTAACCAAATTCAACTACTAATCTGTTTTGTAACCTGTACCTTATTAGCTTTGTTTGAAAATCTATCCATAGGACATGAAACTCATCTATAAATTTTAATGTTTTGGGTGACTAAGCTAGGGAATAGGTAACATCACTGCTGCCATCTGGTTGCTCAGTGAACTCGTCATCCCACACCTCTTCCAGATCTGTTCACTATGACCCTACTGGCCTCAACCTTCTATACCTGATACTGGCAGCTTGGATAAAAAGTAAATTTTAAATCACTTTTTAATGGAAAAATATGGAAGCTATCAAAAATACAGTGTGATAGTTAAGGTTTTATTGACGTGGTTGGGCCAAGATTCTCAGTGGTTTAGCAGTTAAGATGTAGTTATCATCTCCATGATGAGATCTAATATAATGTAAGCATTCCCATGATGTAACCTGATATGATCGGCCCTAATCTGATATAATTATCCTATGTGTTGGAAATGCTCATTTCTGTGATGTTAATGAAGCCAGATGTGATCTACAGGATTAAGATCCCTGCAGGGAAGCTTCTAGATCCAGGGTAAGATTCATGCCAAGAACAGAGATCGCAAAGTAATTCTGGGCCTACGGACAAGAGCCTTTCTCCTGAGTCAGAACTCTGAATTCAGACTCTAAGCCTCCTGAACTGCGATAGAAAAAAATTGTTTGTTAAAGTCATCTGCTTGTGGCATTTCTGTAATAAGAACATTAGAAAACTAAAGTGCACATTACTGAAGGACACTCTTTAGCCCAGCTATTCAAACAATGGTAAATCCAAAGTGTTGCTACAAAATCATAGAAACCTTTATTAGACAAAAATATCAAAACGTGAGGTTACTGTTCTTGACGTATCCTCCATTTAGTTCTATGCACTTCTGAAGGCAATTATTTCCTTCTTTCTACCCTTGTGGCTCTGTGGGCTAATGCATCAGACTGCAAAGCCATTTGAACTACAAGGTAGGTGGTTTAAGCTCACCAGCTGCTCCTTGGAAACCCTCTACAGGGTCGCTATGGGTGGGAATCGACTTGACAGCTTTAACACCACCACCACCCTTCACAGAATTCTGTGCTCGTCCATTGATATCATAACAAAACAGAAGTTTAGACATCCTGGAAGGACTCAAATTGTGTTCTTTTTAAATATTCTTTGAGTTTGGGTAACTAAAAGAATTCTGAAAGGGCAAAAGCAGAGCTGTAAGGCGGATGAGGTAAGGTTTCCCAATGAAATTCTCCTAAGACAGCCCCATTTGCTACCCTTGAAGAATGAGCAGCTGCATTGCCATACTCAAAACAATTCCTTGGTGCACCTTTCTTGGCCTTTTTCTTACCAATGCAGTTTTCAATTTTCTTAAAATTTCTACATAATAAGTCCCCAAGATCATCCTCTGTCCATCAAAAAAATTATCAAGATCATTGTCCATAACCTTTTGAGCTAAATTTAACTGGTCAAGCCAATCCCTTGTGAAGTCACTGCTTTGACTGGGTCTTAGTTTTTAAGGCACCCAAATGATGCGGCACTGTAGGATAAGCACTGGACTTCAAGGTCAGTTGAACCACAAGGTCATCAGTTCAAACCCACCAGTCACTCCTCAGAAACAGGATCTATGAGTTGGAACCGACCCAACAGCACTTAACAACAACAAGAAATCAGACAAGTAAATGTATTACTGAGAAAACTAGTCGGCAGTCATTTACGTATCTCCAACACATGTTTAAATATGTTTTTTGTTGGGTTTTTTTTTCCATACTGTTTGTAGTGTCTTCTCACAGATCCAACAAATAGTTCTGTGAGTAAAGCAAACCACATAGTTACTCTATGAGGCGTTTCCAGCGATGTGGGTCTACAGGAAAGGCCCCATCGAGATAGACCTCAACTAAGTATTTTGTTTGGAATAAACCCATGCATGTAGGAACTGGAACTCTAATAGCAATACTTTTTTACTTACTCTCTTATAATATTGTCCTATAATGACATTTTAATGAAGTCCAACTGTATACAACCAACAAACATATGCAACTCAGAAATGAATTCAAACTTTGTAGTAAAAGATCACATTTTAGATAAGACAAGTGGTTCCTAACCTGATAAAGTAGCTTCTATTTAGAGAAGATAAAGCTACTTTATCACTGACAGAAACTAAATGCTAAAGAAGGTTGTTTATGTCCAGAATAGAACATTTCATTCATTATGCCTTATTATTAGTATAATAGTTATTTTAGTTACCATGGGTCTCCCTTACAAATGCAGAAGAATCAACAAGTACTTTCTTGTGTATTTGCATCAACTGTATATGTGTATGTGTGTGTATAGTTAGACAAGGGAAAAAAAAAAGGAAGTTACAGAACTCAAAGTACTGCACGTATTATCATCCATATAGAAGTTTAGTTACACTTGGTCATTTGTTGTTGTTGTTAAGTGCCATTGAATCGGTTCTGACTCACAGCAATCCTGTATAGGATTTCCAAGGAGGAGCTAGCGGGTTTGAACTGCCAACCTTGTGGTTCATGGTGCAGTGACACACTAGGAGTCCATACTTAGTCATACACATTGTGAAAAGAAAAGCATCTAACAGTGTGTTCAAAGTTAAAGAAGCTATCATACAGGATTTAACAAGCAGGCATGTTTCACCATTTCACTTACCTAATAGTATGATGATAAAACTTCAGGAGATTAGAAATTTTGTATAATAACACTGCCCCAGGTTCAGCAACTATTACTTGCTCAATTCGAACCTATTAAAACATATGAGAAATTAAACATTTCCTAAAAACATAACTTTTCTTCATGAATCATATGGGTATAAATAACATTAAAAAATAAAAACAAAGTGCACTGCATAAATCACCTAAAAAAGGCTCCTAAAGAACTTCAAATTATTAGGTTAAGGAACAGTCAAATAACAGGAACATGTGAGCAAGATAAAGTCTACAAACATTAATCCATTACCTATACAATTTGGTTCAAGGCAGTTGGTACCAGAAATATCAATACGTGTGTACAGTTTACATAATATACCTTATGTACAATACGTAATGGAAATAGTACAGTTTAATCATCAATACATAATGGAATTCAGTAATGCACTAAATCACAAAACAGATGTTCCATCCCTAAAAACAGGTTAACAGTGACAATATTAACCACTATTACCAAATATTCAAACATTATTAAAAAATTCTTATCTTTAAAACTATTAAAACAAATTTCTTTTTCTATTAATTACAACAGAAATAAGAAAGCAGACAACCGTTAAATTAGA